TATATCCCAGACTCAGCTTTTGGCATACTTCCTTGTAATTCTCAGGCACTGTGTAAATGTTTATTGACTAAATTAATTGATGAAAACATGTGAGTTCCTCCAGGGTTGTGACCCTGTCTTTACTGTCCTCGCTGTATTCCTGATCATGAAGCAAAACATACGTCACTGCTGTGAGTCCTCAGATGGTGACCGAGTTGGGAGGTCTGATTATTTCCAGCAGCATAAACCTGTGGCAATCTCTCTCTAGCTTTCATCATTGTTAAAAGTGGTCCCACAGAAAATGGGCTAAGGAGGTATTTTAAGGCACAATATATTACTTACTCAGACATGTCTGTTTGGGAAAATTTTTTTAAATCATAATAATGAAGAGTCTTTGTAGTGTACTAGAAAGAACAAGCAAATAGGAATCAGGGGATTTAGCAAATTTTGCCCTTTTTGTGTAAAATTTTGCCATAAAAAATTGCCATTCGTACAAAATTTCACGCAATTTTTGCCATTAAAAATTTGCTATTTGTACAAAATTTTGTGCAAATTTTGCCCTTAACTTGCCTTGTGACTTGGGTTAAGAGTCATTTATACAGTGTTTGCATCAGGTTTTTCATCAGTAAAATGAGGCAGCTGAAGTCAACTATCTAGAAGGATCCTTTCTAGAGAATACCATGTTCCTTTCTAAGGTGAGAAACTGCACTGAGCTGTCTAGGGTGCAACCGCACAGTAAGTCTGCAATGTCAAGAGTTTCTCAGTACAACTAATTAATTTAGCTTTGAAGAAGGTGACCAGACACTCATGCATAGGACACGGTCAGGTTGGACAAAAGAAAAATAAAGGACAATTCAGCAACTTCAAGCATTGCCTCCCTACTCTGATACAGCCCTGCTTATTTTTTACTGTAGTTTGCAGACAGGGAGGTGTAATGTAAGCCTTCAATGCTGGAAAAGTGAACTGATTCTGGATCCTCCAGTGATTAGAGAAAGGATCCAGATAAATACAGCTGGGATCCTGTGAGTAGGCCTTAATTTCATTAAACATTCGTAGCTGATTTAGAGCTTTGATTTAAGAGAGATTAACATTCATTTAAATTTTAGGTTTAAGTAGGATATCAGCTTAAGACTCAAAACAGAGAATGAGGTCAATCACCGATCTCAGAGAACAAAGGCATGTTGGATTGTTGGGTTCTGCATGTTTCTTAGAAGTTTATGCTGATTGTTAGACAAATGATTTCTTCTCCAGTTTCCATTTGTGCCTTGCTGTTGACTTGAGCATCTAATAAATCTCAAATACCTTGATTTTCTTTTTTTTAAAGATAAGATAAGCTTAAAACTTCAATGGCTCCCCATTGCCTAAAAAGTCTTGACATTCAAGGTCCCCCAAGGTTCCACTGAAGTCCCACCTTCTGCCTTTCCCAGTCTTCCTTAATCTTAGCACCTTCCCTATGAGATTACCTCCACTTTATCCTGTATCTATCTTGTGTGTATGCAGTTGAAATGCTGTCTCTATCCCACTCCACTGGAAGCTTCTTGAGGTCAGGGCCTATTTTGTTTGTATACTCAGTGCTTAGTGCAATGCCTGGCATGTAGTAGGTGCTTAATAAATGTTAGTTGATATACTAACTGACTCCAATATTTGTGTCAGGAGAACCACAACTCAGAACAACCTTAGGTAGATAAGGAAGGATAAGGAGAACAAAAAAGATTTTTTTTAAACCTATATAAGGAAGAAGAGGAGGAACAAAGAAAAGATAGGATTGTGGCTTGGGGATGATGATAATGAACAATGTGAAGGCAGAGGTGCCTTTCTCATTTGGTTTGTTTTCTTTGCAAAAGAAGATGACCTTTGCACTGGAAATGTTGGCTAACAGCGTTGATACCAAAAGAAAAATAAAATTATAGTCAGAGAACACCTAAGAGCTCTCAGTATTGTGCATAATAACAATAGCTAGCTTTTATATAGTGCTGTAATGTTTGCAAATATCATCTCATCTTATCCTCACAGCAACTTGAATGTCGGTGCTATGATTATCACCATTTTTTACTGGTTTGAGGAAAAGGGGTCAGCTAGAGATTAAGGGATTTGAATTCAGCTTTCCCTGGTTCCAGGTCCAGAATTATATCCACTGAAGAATCCCTGGGGCAAAAGGTAAGATTTTGGTTATCTGAGAAGCTGACTTTAGGACAGTAATGCAAACTTCAAATACAAAGGCATCCCTGTGGGTCCCATATTGACTTAAAAAACAACAAATTCACATTATCTATATTGAATTGTATTTATTTTATTAAACATTTCCTAATTATATTTTAATCTGGTCTGGGCAGTAACATGTGCCTGTGGGTCAATAGTTTGACACCTCTGCTTCAGGCTATTGAGGATGATATAGTGCAGTGATTCTCAAACTTTTTGGTCTCAGGACCCTCTTACAGGATTAAAAATTATCAAAGACCTTCCAAAGAGTTTTTGTTTATGTGGGTTATATCTATCAGTATTTACTGTATTAGAATTTAAAATGTCTTTTATTATTATGAAAATTGTTTTGACCTCACAGACCCCTAAAAGGGACTCAGGGGTCCCCCATACCACAGAGAACCATGCGCATAAGGGATAAAATGCTAAAACTAGAGCCATAAAGTCTGGAATTTGAGACCTATGTCTTACACATGCTGATTGTATTACCCTGGACAAGTCACTTAAATTGAGACTAAGCTTTCTCATCTTTATATATCTCTGCATTGTCTTCCCCTATCCCAAAGTGTCATACACTCAATAGACACTCAGAAAACTAAAACCTCATATAAGACACTGAAAGATCTCCATAATCTCTTCTTGAGAGTACTGACTCCATGTTATGTTGCCATTCAAGTGGGTTGATCTCCAGAAAGCAGGCCTGATGAAATTCAGGCCACTGGCCACTTCTCAGAAGGCAATAGGTTTTCCTGAAAAGTGCAATGACATCCATTCTGATTATCCTCAGGTAACCTTTCTCCAGTAAGAATTACCCTGCCTACAGGATCATTTGACTTGGCTGAAAGTTAATTGAAAGATAGCAGATTACCAGAGAGGCCTTTGGAAGCATTGTGATCAGGATGCTGTCATCATAAACAGAACTGAGGGAAGCACATGGGATATTCAGACATTCTGGGTGAAAAAAGACCATTTTCTTCACAAGTCAAGCAATCATGCAATCAGCAAGCATTTATTAAGCATCTGCTTAGTGACAGGCACTGTGCTATGTGATGAAGACCCACAAGGAGCCTACGTTCTATCAGGGAAAGTTGGCAGGTTCCCCCTTCATTGATCTCAAAATGGGATGAGATAAGCCCATTCTTTGCTTTGGTATGAATCTGCTCCAAATAATATTTATAAACACTGAGGAGGGAATAGGCCCAACATAATTGATAGAACTGCTGACAAGGAAGTCCACTCACACTCCTGACCAATGTGTTTAGTTCCACATTTTCCGATATGATAAGGGGAGGTGGACATAGGACCCAATGGGATGTTATGGGAGGGATAATAGAGAAAGAACAGGAAATGTGCAAAGCAAATACTCTGCCTGCAGATAGTTAGGGAGGACACATGGAGCAAAGAGTGATCTCTGGGGCTGCAACATCAGGAGCATACGATTATCCTTTCCCTGTTGTGATTAAGTATAACTTATTTTATTCATTGTTGAATGAACTTTTTGAGATCAGACTTAAATTAAAAAGGGGATTGGCCTGTCAGATCCAACCCACAACACACCTACTCTGCACAAAGCACTAAAGATACAAAGAACCAAAAAAAAAAAAAAAAGAAAAAGAAAGAATCCTTACCCAGGAGTTTACATTCTACAGAGACATGATTCTCCTTCTCCATCCTCTCAAATGTTACAGTACTTTTCTTGTTCTGGTAAGTTTTCTTGTCTGGTAGTTTTCTGAGTGTATGACACTTTGTGAAGGGGGAAGACAATACAGAGATAAATAAAGATGAGAAAACTTAGTCTCAGTTTAAGTGACTTGTCCAAGGTGATACAATCAGCATGTGTAAGACATAGGTCTCAAATTCCAGACTTTATGGCTCTAGTTTTAGCATTTTATCCCTTTTTAAGGATTTATCAAGGTCCTAATAGCTATTGGGCAGCTAAGTGATTCAGTGGATAAAATGCCAGGCCTGGAGTCACAAGGACCTGAGTACAAATCTAGCCTAAGACACTTACTAGCTGTGTGACCCTGGACAAGTCACTTAACCTTTGTTTGCCTTAATCCACTGGAGAAGAAAATGGCAAACCACTCCAGTATCTTTGTCAGGAAAACTTCATGGACCATATTTCTCCAATTGATGGACACCACAAAAAGAGCTGTTATCTTATGCTTATGTCTTTGTAACCCAAGAGGTGGAATTTGATTCCAGATCCTCAAATGCTCTTCCCACTGTACAAATGGAAAAGGTTGAAGGTGCTGGCTAGGATGAGGTTTGTTTTTTATGTTATTTATCAGTCTACAGACTATTCCTTCCTCTCTAACGATTCTGCTGTATATAGCTTTATGATACACCACACCAAGAAAACTGCCCCACAGGCAAATTGTCAAAAGGTGGTTGCAGTCACTAAGAGTTTCCTCGGAGTTCAATTAGCGGGTGGGGAGTGAAGCGCAGATCCTACACTATCCCGCCCCTCTTCCACAAAGATCCCTAATGAACGGCTGCAGACTGGGCTTTGAACAGATAGTGTCCTATAATGGGGCGTAATAACAAGTGCCAGCAGCCCAGCCATCCTGGCAATCTGCCTCCAGAAGTCTTTATCCCCATCTTCATTAATAGGAATAACAACAGTCCTAACCAGGGTCATAAATAAGAGGACTGGAGCGGGAGGGGAGAAGCAGAGCCAATCTCTGCAAGGGAGGAGGGGGGAGCTGCCACAGAGGGCTCCGGGTAAATACCTCCCCTTCCCTTCCCTTCCCACCCGGGGCTAGGGAGTCGGCTTCACGAACGAGTGAGTAGGACTATTGCCCCATGGCGGGGGTGGGACGGGAGTGGGGCTCTTTCTCCTAGTCTCGCTGGGTGCGAGGGCCTCTCTCCCCCCTCTGGCAGGAGTTGGTTGCAGCCGGTTGCAGGGCGGTGAGTAGGAGTAGGTGGAGGAGATCTGGCGGGCCCTTGGGTGGGGGGCCAGCGCTACTCTGTCTGGGTCCGAAGAGGGCGGGCTGCAGTTGGAGCGGACGGACTGAGATTGGGACTTCGCAGAGCGGGGCAGGGCAGGATAGGGCAGGGCAGGGCAGGGCAGGGCAAAGGCAGGCTGGGGAGAGAGGGACGTCCAGGAACCCGCCGACTGAAGCAGCAGAAAGGATGACAAGGTTAGTGAGGACAGGGGAGAAGAGTTTCTTTGCTCTTTTTCATCCCTGGCACCAGGAACAAAAGCAGATCTGCGGATCTGCTGAGTGGAGAAAGGCTCGGGGTCGGATGAGAAGCAACCAAGAGTTGCATGGCCTTGGGGGGGCCACCAAGAAGGACGTGTGGGGATTGTTGGGGGACCTCCTCCTCGCGCTGGATCTGGGGGTCTTGGGGTTGGAGTGAACTGTCGGGAGAGAGGAGCGGATGCTAAAGGGGTCTTCCGCCTCATTTTGGGCTCCCTAGGGTGGGAATATATGTTGGGTCGGGGACGCGGCAGCTGCGTTTGTAAAATAGGAGACAAACTTTTCATGTTTCCCGACAGCCCCGAAAGGGAGAGTTTAAGGGATTTGTAGGGACCCAGGAGCACTTCCCTTTGGATGGGGCTTTAGGACAGAAGTGCAGACCTGGGGTTAGCCCGAGGTGCAGTGAGAGCCAGCGCTGATTTGCAGCGGGGCTTTGGGAAGAAGCAACAGAGTCAGAGAACTTGGGTGGGAGCTTCCCGGATGGGACTTTTCCTACTTTGCTCTGAGGGAATATGGGTTACCTCTAAGTTTCAAACCCCCAGACGCCAACCGGGGCTTTTGGTGCCTTATTTGACATATCACCGTGTTCTACTTTGGAAAACCGAAACTACGTGCTGGCCTTAGCTGGTTGAGAAGGGGGATGTTCACTTTTTTTATGTTGTTTGGGAGATTTAATAACACAGATCCAGTCAGTCATTTATTAAAAGCTCAGAAGACCTGGCTCACCCCAGCCAGAGCCAGGAAATTAAAAGGCTGACAGGCAGTAGCTCCAAGGGCTGGAGTTTCCTGTTTTAAAGAGCTTTGTAAATGGAATCTACCTCCTCTATAAATCCATCTACCCTTCTTATGCAAAAGAGAAACCTAGCAGAAGGAGGCAAAGTGGGACTGGGGGAGAAAAGTGCTGAATTTGGAGTCAAAGGACCTGAGTTCTAATGTGAGCTCTGCTCCCTATTTCCTGTAGGACCTAGGGCATGGCTCGGAACCTCACAGGGCTTTAATTTGCTCATCTGTAAAATGGGGGTAAGGGTTGGACTAGACGACCTTTAAGGGCCTTTCCAGGTCTAAATCTCTAAATCTGTGACTAAGCCTGTTACCTTTCATCTGCCCAGCTCTGCCCTTACCACTTTGCTCTAGGCTCACCTCTCATCTCTCACCTCTTAACTCCCCCAAAGTCTCCAGCTACTAGGTAATTTACCACTGTGAATGCTGCCCCACCTAGGTGCAGCAGGGAGTGGGGAATAGAGAAAAGCCACACAAAAACTACTCCAGTTTTGTTAAAATTCTTTGTAAAAACTCAGTAAAATATTGGTAGTTAATATTTGTGACCCCCCCCCCCCAAGTTATGTACGAATTGTGTTGAGAAGTTAGGTGTTTGGGGTTTTGATTTATTTGGTTTGGTTAAGAGTGATCTGTGTGTTTTCTTCAGGATTCTTAAATTCAGTCTTGCTGGGAGAAGTAATATTTGAATGTATTGTGAAGGGCAAAATATATGCCCCAAAAGCAATAGGACTTTTGGATTCTAGTAGGATAGCAACAAGTTGTTTAGTTTTGGATAAATAAACATTTAGATTGTCTAATATTAAAAAGAAGAGCGTATTTCCTGGGTGCTATTGCCCTAGATTGTGAAAATATTTATAAGGAAGAAGACTAAGTTTCTCTGAAAAACAATGAAACAATGGCCTTTTTCAAGGTTTTAACTTACTCATTTAAAGGCATTATGAATGATCCATAAAAAATGCACATTCATTATTACTTGGGAGAAAGAAGAATTATTGCATTTGAGTAACGTAAGTAACCAGTGCAGCCTTCACCTCTTGAGACCTAGTGGTTTACAAATCCCAGTCTCACTGACAAATGGAAAAATGAGATGTTTGGTTTTAGTACAGTCATCATTTTGCTCAATTTGCAATCTTCAATCTGTTTCAAGCAGCTGGCAGCTGTTGCTCTTAGGATGAGGCCCAAGACCTTGACTGTAGGGGGTGCAGTCTGGATCCATAATGGAGGTGGAAGAATAAAAGGATTCTGAGAAAATTATGGCTAGAAGCTCATATAAACTTCTATCTTCCAGGAGCCTGACTGAAGCCAGAGCTCTTCACCATCCTTTCCAAAAGAACTTCCTTTTATTTACAGAATTGTAGGGGGAGGGGAGGGAGAAAGAGGGAGGTTAGAAGGGAGAGGGGGGTAGGAAGATAGGGGAAGAGGACAACTTTTAATTGATTTAGCAATTAGTAGCTAAATTGCTTCATTTCCTCCCCTCTTCCAAAAAAAAAACCTCTATTTTCCCAGTTATGAAAAGAAGGCTTTTTTAAATCCAGAAGTACACTGGAAAAGTAAACGAGAGAACTAGATTTCTTTCAAATAATCTTACTAGACTAGCAATGGGGCTTATGACTTTGTTAATTTTTAGCCCATAGCATAGTGTGAGCTTGCCAAGCTGCAAACTTAGAAGGAGAGTTAGCTTTGCGCCTATTCCAACAACACACGTGTTTCATGAGTTAGATTGCCTATGCAGATGTTTAAGTCTTTTTCCGTACCTTCACTGACTATTAACCTGTACATGTATCTTTTACATCAAACAAAAATATGTTTCAAATGATCTGCTTAATCTACAATCCCCCATAATACTACATTATTGCCTCCAGGCATATTTTATCAAGATGCATAACACTAATTTGGCTTCTTCAAGAACTTGTTTTACAGCATGCACTGGCCCCTACTCAGACAGAATGAATTTTAAGTTTCTTTATACCTGTAGGATATCTTTGTATTTAAGAATCACCAAGTATATTACAGGTGTTAGTTACCAGTAATTGCTCACTACTTTTCTTTAGGCTTGGGTGAGCTGATTTTCATTTGATAGAGGTGGGAAATCATATTTGGTGAAAAGAAGTCTTTTGAGACCTAAATCTAACCCTTCTGTGCCAAAGACATGGGATGTAACATTCAGGATTTACCATATGTAGCCTTTGAATAGAGGCTGATTTGGCATCAGCCCCAGGGGACTATATAACATATGTCTTGATGGAGCATCCCCATGGAAGAGATGTGCAATTCTATTGTTCATGACCTGTGACACTAAACTGATGTCTGTACCATACCATCTCTGGTAAAGTGGACAGCAGATGGGTTCACAAACAGAACAGATGCTCCTCTTTAAACTCAGGTATAAAATGAAACATTTGTACATTTCAACCAATCAGTTTCAAACAAACACTTATCTCAACCAGCCTCATAAGTGCTGCTGGCCTAAGACTAACTGAACTCTAAGTTGTCTTTGTTAAAGGACTATGTTATATGTATACCTAGGGATTAAGGAACAGGCTTCAACTCTTAAAAGTTTTTGCTATTCCCTGGCCAAATGAGAGGGAGGGAGATGTAGACATGTAAGAGAAAATGGAAAGGAACCTAGACTAAAGGGAAATCAGCAAACTCAGAAGGATGTTCTATATTGTCCTCAGATATCCAAGGAAACTGGAAAAATCTTCATATGTTGATGAATGAAAAGATGTAAGAATTAAGTTTTGTACCAGGGAGACAGGAGACTAATTCTCAGGTAAGCTGGTGGTGTTTAGTATGAATTTCCTACCAGAAAGGAACCTTAGAGGTCCTCTAATTCAATCTCCTTTTTTTATTTTCTCCTACAAATGGAGAAACAGAGGTCTAATCAGATTAAAGTAACTTGTCCAGGTAGTTAATAACAGAGCCAAGACTCAAACCCAGGTCTCCTGATTTCTTGGTCAGCATTCTTTCTATTAGATACTCAGTTCTGAGTTTCTTTAATAGAGGACAATAATATCCAGTTATTTACTAATTTCCTAGGATTAATTAAATAAGAAAAAAGTATTCAAAATGTTCTATTCATGGAATGGTGCTAAGTAAGCCACTGCTAGAATCAGAACTATTTTACATATGCCCTAATTGACTTGATTTTGCAATTTTGAGGCTCAGTTATGATATTTCTTGGTAAATTAAATTTGAGATTCCCATCTGTTGAGGTCCTGTGGATTTCTCTGAATGATACATGTCTGTCTATTTCCATTATTTCTGAACAATTTTTCTGTATTATTTCTTGGACTATGGTATCTTGTTTTTCTTTTTTCATGATGTTTTTCTATAATCTTTAGATGATCATTTCCGACTCTCATAATTTAGCATTCTTATGTTATTGTGCATTCATATATTTTCCAATCTTGTTTTATTCCATTATTTTTCCTTCTTTCTCAATTTTTTTCATTCTACCTAGGTTGTTCTCTTTTTGCAGAATCTACTGTTACTGAAAGAGTTTACTTCTTTTGCTGCAGTCCTTCCAACCTTTTATTAGATTTGCTGATCTCTCCCTTTTGAATTCTAACTTCTATCCTTATTTCTTAGGTAGAGAGGGAGCTCTCTTAGATAATGTAGTGAGCAGAGGGTCACCTTTAGAGACAGAAAGACCAGAGTTCGAGTTCCATTTCTAACACATATGGATGCATGATCTTGGACTAGTCACTTAGCTTCTCAGAGACTCAGACAATGAAGGCTATACATTGTAGAGAAGATGCCAGTCTGTGTTAGTGAGGTAATTTCCTCAGGAATTTTTTATGCCAATAAAATCACTGATTGATTCTCATTTCTTTGTTATTTTCATTTAGTTCTTTGGTTGCTCTTCTGAAATATTCTGAAGTTTCTTGGAGTTACATTGTTGTTGTATCAAGGAGATGCTTGTCC